TTTCCAGAATGGGCCTTTTTCCTACTTTCTTATAAAGCAGTATAATTAATTATAATGCAGTACATATAACTGATTCTTACAGTGGACACCATCAGTGACCAAGAGAAATTCTGTCAAAACTTAAAGACTTTGGGTGTAGTGGTTTGGTGTGATGGTTAAGTGCGCAGACTCTAATCTGGGAGAACTGGGTTTGATTCCCCACTCCTCCACTTGCGCCTGGCTGGATGGCCTTGGCAAGCTGTAGTTCTGATAAGAGCAGTTTCTTTCAAGAGCTCACTCAGCCCCACCTACCTCACAGGGTGCCTGTTGTGGGGAGGGGAAGGGAAAGCAGTTTGTAAACTGCTCCAAGTGAACGGCAGGATATAAATCCAGACTCCTCCTCGAACTCGAAAGGGGATCTCTCTCTCTCTCTCTCTCTCTCTCTCTCTCTCTCTCTCTCTGTCTCTCTCGCTCTCTGGCTCTTTCTCTACCTCAGCCAATTGAGTGAAGGGAAGCTTGGCTTTCTCTCCTCTGCAAAACAAAAAGAAGGTGAGAAGAGAGATTGTCAAAAGCAAGCTGTGATGCAGGAACAAGGAAGCTGGAACAGGAAGTAGGCAGCAGACCAGGCCTGTAGCCAGGATTTTTCAGTTTGGGGGGCCTTTAAAAAGTTGGGGGGCACACAAACAAACACGTAGGCTGGCTGGCTGGCCACTGCCCCAGCTGGTCTTCCCATGTGGTGGCTGGAGGGAATGGTGCACCAGGATCCAGCGGGACTAAAGCAGTTCTCACCTTTCCTTCCCCCCACCATACCCCTCCCTCCTTCTGACTGAGATATAAGGATTTAGAGATCTCTATTTGAACTAGTGTCTTACTTTCGAAAGTTTGTACCCTGAAAATCTTATTGGTCTCTAAGGTGCTACTGGACTTAAATCTAGCTTTCCCACTTTCCGCTTTCTCTCCTGTTTTAATTCTACACAGGGAACACACGCTTGTGCGGTGTCAACATCTGCAATTATTTTCACCTTTGTATTGTTCCCTTCATGTGTGACAGTTTGTCACAGAGATGGCAGGAGGGGGCACACAAAGTCTAATTCATAAGGGCTGGAAAATGAAAGCTTGTGTGAATAAGACACATATTATACAGCAAGTGGGCTTGTTGCTTATAAACTATACATCTCCCTTTCATCACTTTATTGGCAGGGGAAATGCATTATAAATTAATGGGAACATGGAATGAGAAAGTACTGGAGAGCTATGATTGATCATGGTTTCCCAGTACAAGTTTGCTGCATGTTTACAGATACAGCATTTTCACTTGCTGAGCATGTTCACTGTAAAGACACATGGCAGATGTATGACAAAGTCACTTGTTGCATAAAGCATCCCATGTGAAGTATAAATGAAGTGGTCCCAGATTCTTCAGATATTTGTGAAATGTGCCCTCTAAAAAGGTGCCCTTCTATAGCTTTCCACACTTGGCAACTATGCCATTTTATTTTAATGGTGGACCACGGTTGTCATTAGGAGCACATATTTTCAAGCCTAGGCTTAAAATAAAATATATGAAATGAAATAAGAAAAGTATGTAGGCTACCAACCACTCAACGACATTGTCTTTTCTAGGAAATTACCATCATTAGAAAAAAGAATCGGAACTTAATTTTATTGAGAACGCTGTCTGTAATAGACTCTTCATTTCCTGCTGCCTGTCATAAGTAATTTCAAATGGTTTGTTTTACTTAGCACCTTTGAAATGCAGATTAATTCAGCTTCCGAATAATTTGGCATGAGTACAATACAAAATACATCATGCTTGTCTAAAACAGGAGCATAAAAATAATCACATTGCTAAAAGAAATCACCAGGAATGAATGTAGCAAACAAGCAATGAAGATGTATGTTCTATGGGTGACTTGTAATGAGTACTAAAGATGCTCACAATGGATTCTGGTAAAAGAGAGAGAGAGAGAGAGAGAGAGAGAGAGAGAGAGAGAGAGCACTGCCCAGAGGCTTTTTGTCTAAACAGAAAGTCACAAGTTTCTGTATCAGCTTTTGCAAGTAAAAATACAGATTTTTTTTGTCTATTATTTCCATACCGCTTATTGGTTCAGCTTTACAATTTTATTCAACCTGGGAAGCATTAAAATGGTGTAGGAAGTGAAAAATGCCCTATTTTTCCATTCTGTAAACTTGGCAAGGTCAGGGCCATTATAATGGTGAAATGCCAAATGACTAAGAGGTAACAGGAGTCATGGAGATCACTGATCTCCACCAGTCTGTAACAGATAAGACAACAGATAGCAACCCCAGTTCCAGGCATAATGGGAAAAGAAGAGGGAATTTAACCCTTCATAACCTCTGGTTCAGTTTCACGAATTAAAGTCAAGCTTTTTGTGCTGCTAGCACTTCAAATGAGAAAGACAGCTGTTAAAATGACACATAAAATGTATGAAATATATTGTTCAGTTTTGACATTTTAGAATGTTTTTGGCAAATATGACAACATTTTCATCTATCTGTAGTCCAGAGAATCATTATGGAAACTCAATGGTGGTTCCTGGTAGAAATGTGCACCATCCAGATGCTGTAGTGTAGGGAGAGAGACTTTATTGCCGGTGAGCATGAACATGATGCAACCATCAACTTCCGCTGTCAAGGAGGATAAATTATAGCAGTTGGGAGTTAGAAAGGAAGCCTAATTTCACCCACACTGAGTTAAAGTGATGTAGAACAACAATTCCACAATGGAAATTTTTACTTTGCATAAATTTAGGTTTATTTTTGTGTGAGATCAGAAAAGATATGTATTATGTATAGTCATCACTATAAAGCCAAAGATTCAAAGTGCAATTCATGTGCCTCAGCAGTGTTGCTTTTATGCAAGTATGAGCTATGCATATGTAGATACGCTCCAGCTATCTGAATCCATTATGAAAAGGGTATGGACTGCAAAGCACCATTTGTCCAATATTAATCAAAAAAGGGAAGATTTATTCCTTACGCAGCATGAATGGTTCCTAAAGATTCTATATTTCAGGAATGAGAGCTGAGCTACACAGTGTGCAGTCCAATACCTGGTTCACATATTTAAAAGAAAAGCAGAGCACTGTTAGTAGAGTAGATTGCATCACATGAGACAGCAGATCGTAAATGTCTTTGCATAAACAATTTTGTGGAAATACCCCATAAGCTCAGAAAGGAGAAAGGTTCCACCACCTAGCTTTGTTTGCTTTGCTGAGGGTTTCTGTTTGCAGGGAATTTTTTAAATGTACAACACCATTCCAAAATGTGACCGTCCAGGATTCAACATGAAGTGGCAAAGCTCATTGTAGCCCATCATTGCCACCTAATTCACTTGCATGTGTGAGCTAGGCCTGGGGAAAAATAACAACTGAAGTAGAATTATCGACTATACTATTTAGACAGCAAGAGTAGGGTTGCCAGCACAAGGCTGACAACTGGCAGGAGATTGCCATATTGGATGGGGTGTCCCTCACCAGCAATGTAATGATGTCACCAGTGATGCAGTAAGGTCACTTCCAGCAATGTAATGACATCACACTGGTGATGCTCTAGCATTCCGCCAAAACTCTATGGTTCAACCATGCAGTTTTGACTGAATGCTAGAGCACTGCCGGCAATGTGATGCCACTTCCAACCTGGCAACTCCATACAGGAGTGTCATATTTCCAAACTTTTACTTTCAGTTCTTTGGGGAATCACTCAACATGGTAAAGTTTAGGAAATGCTTACCAATGAGTTTGCTGATGGCAAATTAACAGACCATGGGTGAACTGAACCAGGTTTCCATCACACTGAGCAAGTTCAAAGAGAATTTGGTTTAAAAAGAGAAAGAGAGAGAGAGATCACAGGATGGGGACATGTATTCTGTTGATTACTTGCTCTCAAATACAAGTTCCGATTTGGAAGAGAAGCAGAGGGTTGGTTATTTTTAATTTTCTTGGCCCCTCTCTCATGGCTCTTTCTACAAAAGAATATTATTTCCTCTCATAGTTGAAGAATACACCATATGGTTGCTAGCTCTGGGTTGAGAAATACATGGAGATTTTGGGGGTGGAGCCTGGGAGGGCAAGGGTTGTGGAAGGGACGGACCTCAGCAGGGTATCCAGAGACCACCTGGTTGATCTTTTGTCTCCAATAGCTACCCTCTGACTGCATCCTTGGAGAGATGAGGCAAACCAAGATAAGGCAGTGCCATGCATCCCCAGTGAGGCTAGGTGGCTGACCACAGTAGAATTACCAGGAAAACCTAGAGCTGTTCAGCAACATCTATCTCAATTACCTTTCCCAGAAATGGTAAATTGGATACCAGGCGGTAATAGCTTAGTTCCTTTTTGTCTAAAGAAAGCTTTTTCAACAGAGATCTAACTACAGCCTCCTTCAAGGAACCAGGGAAACACTCCTGAGCAGGAGACAAATTAATAATTTCCCTCAGTGATCCTCCTATCACACCTTGGCTGGCTTTTACGAACCATGATGGGCAGGGAACCAAGGAGCAAGTCATCACTTTCACAGCAGCCAGGACCCTGACAACATCTGACAATGAGAACGGTCAGAAGAGATCCAAAAAAGGGTCAGACAATGGCAATGGAGCCTCCAGTACACTATTCGAAATTGAAATTTGTGGAGAGGTCCTGGTGGAATTAGTAGGAGCTGTGGTGGCTCAAGTGGTTAAGATGCTGAACTGCAGGCTGTGGAAGGTCGGTAGTTCAGCAGTTTGAGACCCGAGTGTACCGCATGACGGAGTGAGCTCCCGCCTCTAGTTCCAGCTCCTGCCAACCTAGCAGTTTGAAAGCAAGAAATTGCAATTAGATAAATAGGTACCACTTCGGTGGGAAGGTAACAGCGTTCCGTGCTCCTTGGTGTTTAGTCATGCTGGCCACATGACCACGGAAATGTCTTTGGGCAGCGCTGGCTCTTCGGCTTTGAAACGGAGATGAGCACTGCAACCCTAGAGTCAGATTCGACTGGCTTTCGAGCAAGGGAACCTTTACCTTTACCTTTTACCTGGTGGAATTTAGAGACTTTGTCTGCAAAAAAGTTCACAAATGAGTCACAGGTAAAGGCCAAATCTATATTTTGCCTCTGCCATACAACATGTTTCAGAGTCACAGAAGCTAATCATAATTCTTCACCTTCCCTTGCCACCTGTCATTTTGTTGCTTCTGTGATTTCTGCTCTTGGTTTGCCAAAATTAAACACAAATGAATATATCTAAATGTCTTTATCTGAGAGACCACATTTTTAAGAGCACTCTGCAATCTGCTAGTTAACCTGCACTTAAGACAAGTGGAGCATTTTCACTATGTTTTTTTAAAGGGATCCATATTCTTATGTGCCCCACTCATACATGCTAATACAGCAGAACCAGGTAGAAAAGCACTCTGGCTTGGATCTAATGGAGTTTTTCTACAACAGAGGGGGGAGTTATTTTCAACAATTCCCCCCTCCTGCTGCAAACCTTTGACTCCTCACTCATGCTGTTTAGGGATCCCTCAGGAGCAACATTTCAGGTAGAATTTGGGGCTGCAGCAGATGGGTGAGAGCAGGAAGTACCACTCTTTTGACAGAAATCCCTTCTGTTCACATAAATTCTTGCTTGATCCAAGCCTATGATTGCAGCAGCAACTTCGCAGTTTATAAGACTTATATGAGAGTTATCTATCTCTATAGAACAAAGTCAGAGTCCAGTGGCACCTTCAAGACCAATGAAGTTTTATTCAAGGTATAAGCTTTTGTGTGCACACTCACTTCTTCAGATACAGTGAAACAGAATTTCCTTAAACATTACATATAGGAAGGAGGCGTTAGTTGCCAGGAAGGGTCAATCAGAGTAAAGACAGAGACAGAAACAAAAATGGAAATTACCAGTCCATACATATAGGTAGAGAGTGAGCAGTAAATTATACAGCATAATGAAGATGTTTAACAGATTCAAGGATCAAACAGGGATAATAGGCTTAGTTTATATGGTTACCATTTGTTTGGGTTCAATTCTGGGGGGGGGGAAACAGTGAAAGAAAGAAATATGTCAAAATTGGAGCGTGATGTATCCTTAATTGTGGAAAGTAATTAATTCCCCTCCAGAAGTCTATTATAATTGGAACTGATTAACAGACTTTTTTATTCAGCTTCAGCAAAACAGCAGGAGGCAGCAGTTAACTTCACTCTGTCCCGCCATTCTTATGTCTGGTCTCCTTCAGTGCACCCTAGTCACGGGGCTCTGGCTCTCAAAAGCAGGATTGAGGCTCCTTTCTCCATTACATACTTATCTTCTTCCTCCAATTACTTTATTTTTTCCTTTGTGCTTTCTGAGTTTCCCACCTATTTTCCACTCCATTTCTCCCTTTGTGTCTCTCCTGCTTCTGTTCTCTTCCTTGCTCACCTTCCTAAACTTTGTTCCTTCCTCTTCTTCCTTCTCAATTATCATCCTGTCCTCCTGCTCAGTTTTAATGTCACTGTTTTCCATATCCTCTTGCCTGTCTTCTCCCTGAACTTCTTCATCTTTCTTCATTTATTGTGGCAGCTCCAGCTCCATGCAACCCACTGTCTTACCCCCAAACCTCAAATTGGGCTGCTATGGTCTTATCATGGCTACTGTCACAGCTGGGAAACATCCATGCCATTGAGCACCTTCGCCTACTCCCCCCCCCAACATACACACCAGGAGGTCATGAATACACATGCCCATTCTTTCACTGGCCCATGATACTGCCACAGCAGCCTGTGCCCAGACCAAACAGGCAGGAACCCGTCCCACCTGAATTAATGACCGCCATATTATTAGCCTTGTGCCCTCACCTGGAGGCCACTGAAGGGGGTAATCTGTGACTGGTACATAGGGCTGCCAAGTGGGGGCGGGTAAACCCCCGCTTTGAAGGCCCGATTTCCGCCGCCATGGAATCGGGCCCCGGGGGGAACTCCGGCCCCCGAAGCGCAGCGTGGCAACCACATCGATCACGTTGGGGGCGTGGCCTTGATCGTCGGAGGGAAAACTCCATGGTTTTCCCTCCGACGATTGGGGCCACGCCCTCAACGTGTCGACGTCACGCGTCACTTCCGGAGCCCAGTGAGGCTCCCCCACCGCCAAGGTAAATAGACTTGGCAACCCTACTGGTACACCACACATAGGGTTTGAGAATGAAGGGCCTAGGAACTGATACTAGGGCAAAAAATGACTTCATGGGGCCCCACTAGGTTTGCTAACCTCCAGGTGGTGGCTGGAGATCTCCTGGGATTACAGCTGATCTCCTGGTGACAGAGATCAGTTCACTTGGAGAAAATGGCCACTTTGGAAGGTACCCCGTTGAAGTCCCTCCACCTCCCCAAACCCTCCTCAGGCTCCACCCTCAAAATCTCCTGCTATTTCCCAACCCAGTACTGGTAACCCTGGGCCTCACCTCTCCCAGCAGTTGTTTGGTATAATGGTCAAGTGTGTGGACTCTAATCTGGGAGATTCCCCACTCCTCCACTTGCAGCTGCTGGATGACCTTGGGCAAGCCATAGTTCTGTCAGAGCTGTTCTCTCAAGGACAGTTCTGGAAAGAGCTCTCTCAACCCACCTACCTCACAGGGTGTCTGTTGTGGGGAGGGGAAGGGAAAGGAGTTTGTAAGCTGCTCTGAGACTCCGTGTGAATGGCAGGGTATAAATCCAATCTCTTCTTCTTCTATCTATCTTGAGGTGGTCCCTGCAGAGTGGAGTCTCTACAGGCACTTAGGAATGAGCTGCTTTCACCCTTGCTGTTTTGCACATGTACAAAAATTAAAGACTATTACAGGCCCTGAGTTAACAGTGCTGAGGCCTGGCTGCTCTTATTAGAATGTAGGAGGTGCCACACTGAATCAAACCTTCATCATTCTGTTTCACACATGGCCAGTCAGTTGTCCTGAAGAGCCAACAAACAGGGAAGAAAGGTGTTGCCTCCTAGCACTGATATGCTTGGTTCCACAGAGAAGTGCTATTTCAATGACACAAAATACTGGGGATCTCTCTTTTCTCCCTCTTCAATTACCAGGACTCCAGTGTGGATGTCTTTGCTGGCTAGGCTTGCCAAGTCCCCCCGGGGGGGCGGGGAAACCCCCGCCCCAGAGGCCCGTTTCCCGGTGGCGGCGGATCGGGCCCCGGGGGGAACCCCACCCCGACGTGCACGTCACCTGGAAGTGACGTGACCACGCCGGGCATGCTGGGGGCGGGGCCACGGTCATCCGAGGGAAAACTCTATGGACGGGAGTCCCCCGCTGCGGTGAAAATCAGACTTGGCAAGCCTATTGCTGGCTCTACTGAGCTTCTGGAAGTCTATCTGTGGAGCTGGCTCTCCTCACTCTACCTGTAGGTGATTAGAGCATCCATTGATTAAGATAATATTGTCCCCTCCTTCTCTTTCGCCCCACCCTTTCCCAGTATCCTTCACCTTGTTAGTAGCCCTGTCCCCACATCAGTGACCTCCCTCCAGATCTGGATAGCCCCAGCCTGGTCTGATCTCGTCAGATCTCAGAAGGTAACCTGGGCTGACATGGAGGCAGGCAACGGTAAACCCCTTCTGACCGTCTCTTGCCTTGAAAACCCTACAGAGTCACCACAAGTCAGCTATGACTTAACAGCAAAAAAAGAGAGGAGGGTGTTAAAAATTATCCACCTTGACTCAAGGCTCTGTCTTTTAGTTGTTAAGACAAAATATTCTCTTTGAACATACTGCAGTAGTGCCAGCAAGATAACATAAAGAACAATTATATCACCCTGAAATACTTTGATGATAGTTGGAGGAAAACCCGAAGGAAAGCCCAGTGTTAATTAAGCCTATCTGTTAAGTATAAATCAGCCAAAGTCAGCAAAAAAAGCAGGAAGACAGACTGACAGAATAACTCTAACTTATGGGATAGGAGGAGTGAAAGAAGGAAAGAAAGAAATGAAGAAAGAAAAGAAAAGACTCAAGAGGAATTCTGATTCACCACCAGCCTCTACCCCAAAGTCAGCAAAACAGTTGTGTGTAGATGACTCATTCTGGGAAGAATTGGTGAGTGGAATATCTTTTACCTCCCCTAATACAAGAACTATGGATAGGGATGCACTAAAAGAATAAAGTACTCAAATGCTGCACCCCTATGAGAACGACACAGCAGGGGCTGAAAGGGAGGAAGCTGTTTGCCACCCAGCAGCTAATTTAAAGACCAATAATTTAGATATGGTAGTTCTGGGAGAAAATGTGGGAGAAACACTCAACGATGATCTCCTAAAGTTTGCAGGGGACCAATATTTACTCACTGCAGACACTGTGGTGGCTATTTTCCAAACAACTTAACAAAATCTCAACTAAACTGGATGCCCTAAGAGATGTGGGAAATGAATTCGGAAAGCCAGGTGCAATCAGTCAGAGAGTACTGAACACAACCATAGCCTCCTCAGCAAAAATGCAGAGGAGGGGTGGATTACCTTCAACTATTCTCAGATCTCAAATTAACAAAGCAGGGTAGCTAAGTAAAATGGCAACAGACAGTTTAACCCTGCAAAACAACCAAATAGTATTGTTAATTGCTCAGAACTCTCTAAATCAAGGTTGTTAGGTGAACCAGCAGTGGGACATGTATGGAAACTTCAACTCCGGATGATCTCTTACTTGCCTCATCTTCCATCAAATCTACAAACTGGCAGGCTGTCACTCATCCTCCAACAGAAGTATCCCAGTTATCTGATTCCAGCTCTTCAAAATCGAACTCAACTATTTTACTTAAAGACCTTGATTTCAATAAAACAGCAGATAGAGACTTGTGGACACCGGACTTAAAACACCAATTTCTACAGATACTAAGACTCAAACGACAGGAAAACTGCTGTAACTGAGCCCTGGTTAAACCAAGCAAAAGCTCCTGCCAAGATACTTGTGCCAAGATTTTGTATAAATATTTATGTAATTATTATTTATATTTTATTGTATAAATATGAAACCATGGCACCCTTTAACTTTTGTTTGAAGTGAGAGCGATAGTCTTATTCAGAAGATCTCTTCCACTGGACCTTAGAATATGAACTCAGGTTCACCTGATCCTTAGTAAAAATTCCCAGGTTTGAAACCATCTAACACTAGTAATTCTTTTTTAATTTTATTTTTATAATTTTCATAAACAGTTAACAACAGTTAACAACAATAACAATTAAACCCATAACCATTCTATAACAATAACAATTTAAAACTTCATTAAAAATCCATGTGTTATAATCCAGCCAAAAAGGGTAGTTATGATTCAAGATTTCAGAAGCATCATAAAATTATAAATTTACCAGCACACCTCATTAAGTCAAAATACTGCAAGTTGTCTGTATAATAAATTCACAGGAATTACATTTTGTTCAGTCATGTATTGTAAAACCAAATAGCCAAAAATTTAGAATGATACTGATGCTCTTCTGAAAACACTACTGATTGTGAGAGTTTAGCCATTATAAATTGATCCCATATAAATTGATCCCACATCCATGCCACTGAGAAATTGTGGGGGAAGCATTTCCATTCAGAGGAAATCACCATTGATGCCGAAGTTAACAAGATAGCAATCAGTTCTTTTGTAGTATTCCTCATAAAAAGATCTGGCCAGTAATTTAATAAAACTGCTTCCAGAGTAAAAGAAAGCTCTAGAAGTGATCATTGTAATTCAAGAACAAATTTCCTGCCAGAATTTATTTATATAAATACAGTCCCACCAAAAATGTTTGTAAGAGTCAATTTGGCCACAGTTTTCCAGCAGTTAGGGAAACCAGATGGAGTGAGATACCAATATGAGAGAACTTTTTAAAAAATGAAATTTCATACTATATATTCTAGAAATATTATTTGGGGAGGACCAAATTGTCTTCCATTCTTGAGCTGTTAAAGCAAGTCCATGATCCCTGTTCCATAGCTTTTGATACCTAAGTGGTTTAGTTAAGTCTGGAATAGTTACTATTTTATATATTTTAGATAATAATCCTTTTTGAGTTTTTCAAAGTCTGTAAGTGGTCTCTCCAATGAACCAAGAAGTTTCACATACCTCATCATGTACCTTAGTTGAAAATACTGATACCACGGGACAGACAATTCTAGAAGATTCTCCATTTGAATTTTATCTAAAAATTTCCCTTTAACATGTAAGACCAGTATACAAATGTCTCTAAATTGAGTCCATCTTTTAGAAAATACATCTTGTTTTGTCAGCTTCAGACCATTCCTGATTTAACAGCATGGACAACTGAAATATACAAAGGGATAACGATTGACGAACCTTATCCCATAATTTCAAAGTGATAACTAAAAATTCATTGTCTTTAATTTGGGGGGATCTCAAATATGGTTTCTGCCAGTGTTGCATTGTGCGTCCTCCTTAGCTGCCTGTCGCTGTGCTGCCTGTGCTTCTGGCTGTATCCAGCAGGGGGGGCCCACATCCCAGCTGGGAAGGCAGGAGCCGAGAGAGCAATTCTCCAGGGAGGGAACTGGCTTCAGATGATGGGCAAGTCAGAGGGTTCACTCACCCTCTTGGCCCGTAC